TCATCGATGGCAAAGTTGAAGAGGAATGGTGAGATTGGGCAACCCTGACTAACCCCACTGCTCGAATGGAATAGTGGAGAAAGGTAGTTGTATGCCCTCACTCTGCCTGAGGTGTTTGTGTATAGGGCTTTTAGGATGTTAATAAACTTCTCAGACACACCCTTCTTCAATAGACAATCACAGAGAACAGTTCTGTCCAACGAATCGAAGGCAGCCCTGATATCAAGAAACACTACGATTGTTGGCCTTTGATAAGTATGGCGATGTTCTAACATTTGGCGGAGGGTGAAGATATGATCAATACATCCTCGACCAGAAGGAAACCCAGCCTGCTCCACGCGAGTCAATCTTTCTCGGGTTCTGAACAACCTACTAAGTATGACGGAAGCCAATAGCTTGGACGCAATCGGAAGTAGACTTATCCCCTGATAGTTGTTACAGGAACAACGTGAACCCTTTTTAAAGATAGGGACAACTATCGACTCATTCCATGACGTTGGTACACTCTCTAGTTCTCAGATCTTTGTAAACAACGTCGTCAGTCCCTTAGTCAAAAAGCAGATAGTTCATAATAGTTTTAGTGAGTGGGCTAGGATACTGCCCGGGTGCCCAGACCGAAGCAGGTGGTTTTCTTAGGGGGCCACACCCCGAGCCTTTGACCTAAAGGTCTAGTCCACAAGGCAGTGGAGCATCGTGAGGAGATGCAGTCCCACGGAAGCCGGTGACCAAAAGTTGGTTCATACGCCCCCAAATGCCCTGGTATGGCCGAGAGCGGGGAGGGTTCGCCCTCCCTCTCGAAATACTCTCACACGGCCACGCGTATACAGCCTCTGCCAGGGAAGTCCTACTCACTGCCTTCTCGCACCACCGGTGTTGTTTACGAAAATGAGAGGACGAAAAGCGAACGTCCGGCGCTATAACCGGATCCCAATTCTATGGTGTACATGGGCTCCAGTATCCTGCGGGAACAAATGGCGTATGAACCAACTTTTGGTCATCGGCTTCCATGGGACTGCATCTCCTCACGATGCTCCACTGCCTTGTGGACTAGACCTTTAAGTCAAAGGCTCGGGGTGTGGCCCCCTAAGAAAACCACCTGCTTCGGTCTGGGCACCCGAGCAGTATCCCAGCCCACTCACTAAAACTATGATGAACAATTTGCCGGACGTTCGCTTTTCGTCCTCTCATTTTCGTAAACAACACCCCCGCCACGAGAAGGCAGTGAGTAGGACTTCCCTGGCAGAGGTGTATACGCGTGGCCGTGTGAGAGTATTTCGAGAGGGAGGGCGAACCCTCCCCGCTCTCGGCCATACCAGGGCATTTGGGGGCTCCGCCAAGTGTTAGAACACTGCCATACTTATCAAAGGCCAACAATCGTAGTGTTTCTTGATATCAGGGCTGCCTTCGATTCGTTGGACAGAACTGTTCTCTGTGATTGTCTATTGAAGAAGGGTGTGTCTGAGAAGTTTATTTATGTGTTCAAATAAATAAATAAATAAATGGTCAAAAAGTCACCAATATCTTTAAAAAGAGCCGGAGGTATGTCGTCTGGGCCCGGTGATTTGTAACGTTTCAAGAGTTGGAGTTCCTTGCGGACTTCCGCCTCATTTGGTGGATCAGTCGTCACCGGCCATGGAGGGCATGACAGTCTGACCGATGTTGCCGGAACAGCAGGCCAGTTGAACTGCCCTTCGAAAAATTCTACCCATCGTCCAAAACGTCGATGGATGTTAGTGATTGGTGTCCCATCATCCTCGCAGATTGTTTCGCTCACACCAGACTTCTTTCTGCCAGTGGCTCGGATGAGTTGGAAGAGTTTCCAGTAATTACCAGATGCAGCTGCTGCTTCCAACTCATTAGCACGCTCCGACCACCAGGCTTCTCGGTCCTTACGCAAACTTTGCCCGATTTCATTACGTAACATCCTTCGTCTGTGGTCAAACTCACGGTCACCCGGAGTAGACCGACGGGCTTCAATCAGTTGTAAGGAACCAGAAGAAACCCAGTGCTTATAAGCGGGACGTTTGGCGAACCCACAACAGACTGTACCCGCCATTTTCATGGCGTCATGCAATTTCAACCAATGCTTATCTATACTTTTCGGTGGAATGGTAGCTAGCTCGGTTCGGTACTTACTAGCAACAGAAGTTGCAGCCAGCTTTCTAACGTCAATCCTTTGGTGGCGGTCACTTCGTTGTCCACTTAAAAGTACGGTAAGATTGGCGCAGACCAGGGCATGATCAGAGTCCAGATAGGTACTCCAAAAGGAGCGGCAGTCTTGTACACAACCGCGCCAGCGGTAGCTGATCGCGATGTGATCAATCTGAGTCCAGGCTTGAGATGCAGAAGGAGGACGCCAGGTGGCACATCGGCGATGAATGTGCCGAAAGTTAGTGCTAGCCAGAAACAGGTTGTGGTCTGTATATAGTTGCAGTAGACGTTCCCCGTTATCTGTCCTGCGACCAACGAGTCCCCATCGGCCACCTAAGCGACTCTCTTCTGTGCCTAGACGCCCGACCTGAGCATTCAAGTCTCCAGCTAGTACTACAATATCTGTCGAACGCACTTTCTGGAGAAGAACAGTTAGCTGGTGGTAGAACTCGTCCTTGATTGCATCCGGGCTGCAATCTGTCGGGGCATAGGCGGAGATGACGAAAAGACATCGTTTCTCACGCCGATTTCTTCTCACTTTGATGGAACTTTCTAATCTAACAGCACATAACCGACTGTTAATGGGGATCCAGTCGACTAGTGCTGCCTCAGCTCTTGCGCTTAGTGCGACACCAACGCCAACAAGACCAGACGAAGATGCCACAGGGTCCCCGGATAAACGCACATAAAACAAGCTTTTTGAAGTGACAGATGGAGAGCGAACTTGTAGTACTTCACCAGAGTCTTGAATACGGGTCTCGGATAGACAACACACATCAATATTAAGACTTTCCAAAGACATAGCCAGCCCTATCTGTTGTCCGACCTGCATAAGTGTGCGAACGTTAAAGGCAGCCAGTTTGAATGGTGCACGCGGTTTCAGAAAAACTGCTTCAGTACTCATATTCGGTAGTAACATACAATTTTCAACCAGGCAGTGACTCGGGAACGTTTAGATAAAGCTGAATTTTCACCATAGGTGAGCTGCTGTCTAGGTCGAAACGCCTATATAAAGTAGGAATAAGAGAGGGTGAATAAATGACGTGGTAGAGTAATAATAATAATAATAATAGTAATAATAATAATAATAACAATAATAATAGTACGAGTTATTTCAATGTTAATCAGATAGAAAGGAATATTTTCCATAAGCAAATTGTTCATCATAGTTTTAGTGAGTGGGCTGGGATACTGCTCGGGTGCACAGACCGAAGCGGGTGGTTTTCTTAGGGGGCCACACCCCGAGCCTTTGACCTAAAGGTCTAGTCCACAAGGCAGTGGAGCATCGTGAGGAGATGCAGTCCCATGGAAGCCGGTGACCAAAAGTTGGTTCATACGCCATTTGTTCCCGCAGGATACAGGAGCCCATGTGCACCATAGAATTGGGATCCGGTTATAGCGCCGGACGTTCGCTTTTCGTCCTCTCATTTTCGTAAACAACACCGGTGGTGCGAGAAGGCAGTGAGTAGGACTTCCCTTGCAGGGGCTATATACGCGTGGCCATGTGAGAGCATTTCGAGAGGGAGAGAGGACTCTCCCCTCTCTCGACCGTACCAGGGCATTCGGGGGCTTATCTAAATGAACCTGGTGGTTTACTTCAACTCATCAAATTTTCACGGTACACAAAGTTTTTAACTACTGTTTATGAATGTCCAGTAAACCAGGTGGTTTTTCCCTCTACGCCTCTCATAACAGTCTATGAAACCTTGGACTGCTAACCTGTCTTGATTCAACCACTCTTAAGCTTACTTCAAGTAGTAATAAGTTTGTATCATACCTATGTAGCAGTCTGTACGCTCTCTTAACATCCATATATATTGTAGTACCTGGCTGGCCAATTTTATCTCCCTGGGAGTTGAACGGTCTTTGTTTCACAGAATTATGACGCGTCATAGTGAAAGCCGAACAAATAGCTGCGGAAATGCGTAAATACAATTTTGCGGCTCTCGGAATATGCGAAACCCGTTAGACACAATATGGACAGAAAATGATAGATTCGGGAGATGCAATTGCACTCTGGTCATGAAGAAGAAAATGCTCCGCACACATGGAGTCGCTCTGATGCTGTCCAGAGAAGCACGAAAAGTCCTTGAGTGATAGGAATCTCACGGATGCAGATCATCAAAGCATTCTTCAAAACAAAGAAGGAAGGGATTGCAATAAATGCTATCCAGTACTAGACACCCACCAATGATAGGAATGAAGACGATAAAGATCAACTTTTTTATGACTCTTCAGTCAATTATGGGGATTTAACCAGAAAAGAACCTAACCTGCGAATTAATGACCACAAGGCACGAAGAATAAAAAATTAATCGTAAGCCTATTATGCATTGGGAAAACTTACTGATGTAGCCTAATAGCACCATAAAATTTTACGTCCCTTTTATATATGTACACAGAGAGTTGTAACAAAATTTTAGCGAGATATGAAATTATCTAAAAAGTTCTTAAAATATGTTGTGTATTTAAACCACGTAACAGGAATATCGAAAAGACTCAGAGTCAGCATTCTCATGCTATTAAAAATCGATGTTTGCACTCTTATGTAAACCAGATCCTCGATCGTATTTTAATTGGTAAAACTATGCTTATAAATGGAAAATGACATTCAATGGATAACAGTCTTACGGTTGTCTACTCATGTTTCATAGTTCTTTATCTGTGGATGTTGTGAAAGTTTTTTGATAAGGCCAATTAAGATTTTCATTTCATTTTATCTGAATTTTGAAGAACTTTCATTATTTTGTTCTATCCATTTTAACTTTTCAGAAACCAATCTAGTTAGCGATTACAGACGTTTCTTATTCAAGTTCGTTCAACTTAGTTATATCCTGGACTTTGCACAAATGGTCTCTGACGGCAAATGTTCCGATGCATACTTCCTACAATCTAATATTTCACTTTATGACGATTCTTCTCTGATAGATACTGGAACCTTCAAAATATATGAGGAGTAAGTTATAGAGATAGGTTATATTAAAAATTTACATGAAATATAATAATACAGTTAGGCTTATCACTCATACTGGATTATTAAAATACTGAGTTTACTTTCCAATAGTTGGTGAAAAATCAGTTTTGCTCGTGCAAAAAAAATTAAACTAAGTAATCGAGAAATCGCATTTGTTGTATTTTTATATGTACCTTGTATTTCCTTACATTTCACTTTCCCTCGTCAGATCACTTATCTTAAGGACGATAAAATCGCGATAAGTCGCTGAAAAATATCCGAAAACTCATGTTGGTTCTCACCAATAGGTAGGTAAAGCCAATTGAATAATGACCCTTGGGCTCTGTGTACGGATTCCAAAGAAACAATATACTTCTAGACCACCTATTACCACTGTGCGCAATGCTGACTATTATTGGAGACGGATAGAAGAAAGTTAGGGGCGGTCATACCAAAACGTGGCATCAGTCCATAAAGTCACTAAATTCTGGTCTGAGATATGTTTGTAGATGCAGACTACTTGGTTGGGGTCCGCGTGACTATCGTAACTAATGATTGGGGACTCTGGGTAGCATGGCTCAGAATCGATTACAATGGCATCGGTGTATACACTCTTTATCTTTCCTTAAACTATGAGATTAAATTCGCTTCATATCTTTCTTTCTACGAACTAATTCTTCCTTCCTGTACTATCTCCTTATATGTAATCTTCCTTTTATACATTACCACCACTGAATTAACCACTTCTATGAATCCGGTGTTCATCTTGCTGTGTTAATGCGGTATGGCAACTTGTACCGATGCATATATGTGTCTGGTCCTACGTTGTATCTGACTGACTAAAAAGAAAGGAATAAGTAAGATGCAACCTGGCGCGCAAATGTTTATCGATCCTGTTATATTTTTACTATTGACTAAAATTACACATTAATTGTCGCTTTTCACTCCACCTCTAGTCTAAAATGACTATTCATAACTATTTAAAACTTCTCCTTGGAAATAGAAGTAATATTGATTCTTTTATATTTACATGTAGATTTTTTACATGGGAAGGTACATCAAAACAATTCTTTATTCCTTATTCACAAATAACCTCACATGCTATTGTCAGGAATACGGTAGAGCAGACTGGAGATAATTCCAATAATTTATTTCCTTACCCACATTTATTAGTAATGATCGTCGGAGATCGTGTATGGGATTCAAATACTACTGATAATTTATCTGGTACGAAATCACAAAACGAACAAGATGGCATGAAAATTGATGAAGGAGGTTCAGATAAAGAAAAAAAAGACTCTGATAGTGACCGCGCTCCAGACTGCCCTGCTTCTGAGTCCGCCCTCCGCTTCGTTCCACAAGATTCAGCACAACTCGGAATTATGTATCAAGTACTATCCATATGTCAGGAATCAAGTTCGGATTCTGAAGTTGATAATTCGGACTACGACTATTTCGCAGTAGATTATTAATACGGCTATATGTGATAAGTTCATCATCTTTTCCAAACGAGTTAAATAACCACTAATGCAACGTGAAACTATTGTAAAAAGTAATCTTAAGTGAATAGTTCGATTTTATTTTTTGCCATATATCTTTGTCAGTAAGGTGATTTGTAGAGATTTTAGTATTTTTAACAGCTCGATTCACGAGTCGATCGTGAACTTGCCTTCTTATCCCGACTTATCAATAACCTTACATGTGTACCCATGTGCTGATCTATTATAGTATGTGCTGTCTTCTAATAACCATTGATTGGTTATTTGAGCCATGCTCCCTTGAAATAATGAGTTTTAATAGCATAACAAATAAAATCTAAGATTTCCTATCAAACCTCTGAGCAAATTAGATAAATCTTCATCGAATCTCATTTATATGATTCGTGATAATTGTGGAGGTGTTCGTAAGTTATACGTTGCATAACCATATTATTTTATCTCACAATTTCCTCTTTAACACTGTTTAAGTTTGTTAAGCTGATCATTTTTTTCTGATTGACTATTTATTGTTGGTTTCATCTCCCTGAATAAGATTTTAGCTTCAATTATTGTTTGAAGCCAAAATTGTTTTCTGACTTTATTCAGACTAAAGTGCAGTTGTCTAGGTGCGACGTAGTTGTATAGGATGAATGTCCCTAGTATCTCAGATCGAAAAAGCTGGCATAAAACAAATTCAATAAAAAAATATGTAATCCAGCTTTCACTTCATATACAAGTTCAGATAGTCTTGACTTTTTAAGGGTATAATTATGTTCTCAATAATTCTGTTCCATAACAATAATAACATTATGTCGAATATATGCCAGGGAAGTCCTACTCACTGCCTTCTCGTGACATTACTTTTGTTTACGAAAAGCGAATATCCGGCGCTTTAACCGGATCTCAAATCAATGGTGCACATGGGCTCCAGTATCCTGAAGGAACAAATGGCGTATGAACCAATCGTTGGTCACCGGCTACCATGGGACTGCATCTCCTCACGATGCTCCACTACCTTGTGGGTAAGACGTTCAGGTCGAAGGCTCGGGGTGTGGCCCCCTAAGCAAACTACCTGCTTCGGTTTGGGCACCCGAGTAGTATCGCAGCATTCACACACATCAAATGAGATTTGTGTGGCGCATATGTATTTGGTGCCTCCTTGTACCAATATCTATGTGTTAAAATAAATAAATAAGAAGTGATGGCTTAGTGGTTAATTCAATTTTTCAAGTAGTTGATCACAGGTTTGCACCTCAGTCCACCTGCCTTGATTTAAGGAACTGGATAGTATCACAACCAGCCCTCCTCTCGTAAATCAAATCCTAGTAGTACATAAATTTGTATTTTATAAATAAATTAAATACTGGTGAATTTCATCATGGATTGTAGTCGACAACATTTATTTGTTCGTTATTTTCAATGATTAAAAATTTCCACCGCTCGTTTTTTAAAACACATTGTAGATAATGGAAGATTTTGTGAACCGGATCAGTTCGTAGATGCTTAGCACTTTTTTTGTAAAATAATTGATGTATTTTGTAATCAACCATTTCAAACGAATATATTTCCTATTTTATTGAATATTGTTTTCTTTCTTAATAAGCACAAAACTAGAATCCATAGTTATACGGTGGGACCTTACGTAGACAAAAATAAATCAAGAGGTATCGAACGAAGGTCTTGGATTGAATTAATACCTAAAGTCTTCAATAGAATTAACAACACAGTTCGGTGAGCTGATTTATAGATTTTCTTTTACCTTACATGCAAATGAATCCTTCATAAATAATTGTTATTTTGTATTGACTGGACTTCTCTGTCGTAACGATTCGTCCAAAATCAAATCTCCGAAGATTAGTGACTGAAAATTGTACTGTGCTAGGGAATGTATGTTAGAAAAGGAACAAACAGCTGTACAGTATAAAACTTACAGCACTGCAGTACTCTGCTCTCTGTACATATTAGGATCCATAGTTTAATAAAAAAATCTCTTCCTTGGAATTTGATTCGCGAAGTTATAGTTTCAGTAATAATCGTTTCAAGCTGATGTTATGTCTCTTGCTCCTGTTAATTATCACGTGACAAGATCGTCAACCCGAATACCGACTTGTGCGACCACGAAACTGTGCCAAATCAATGACGCGTTAACCAGCACGAGTAGCCTAGCGTTAACTATGAGTCCTTAATGGTTCTTCTTGCCTGTCTGTTCAGAACACAAACTCAGCTTCCATTGTATGAATCATGTATTCCAGACCTACGTAGTTTATATACAAGCAGACCAGACCACATCATAAAATAAAAATGATAATTGTACAAGATCAGGTCAAAAGTGGCTATGATTGGGATAGGCTGTAGCTATTAGAATAGTAAATCGTGTAATAATAGCCAATAGGTCAGTTGAGTGCTTATGACAAGGAATATATGTATATAATCCAATTACTTAAGAATATGTATATTATAACAGTCTATGAACAGTTACCCATAATTTATTCTACTTCTGAAGTTTGTGCTGATGATGTCGTTCAGAAGAACGATGAAAGCTCCACGACCAAACCATCCAGCTCAGAGAACAAAACTCCATCAAAATTCTACTTCGGAATATTGCAATATGTTTCTTATGGAATAACATTGAAAATAGCAATCCAGGTATCGGTGTTCCAAAACGTTATCTGAAGGCAACATTGCATTTATAACGAGTTACCCGAAAAAACATTTGATCGGTTTCATTCCTACTGTTTCCACTCAACGAGGGTTTTTTTTATTAGTTTAATGAGAATTTAATTGGTTTCACTCAATGTCAAACCACCCAATTAGTTGAGCACACAGTTTTGGTTAAAGTAGATAAAGTTATAATTCTCACCTAAAAGTTAGCGTTTTTTAGCGAATTAATTTTCTATGGGATGGGGTCACTAACCCCATGTCCAACCCTCCTCCTTTATCTGGGTTTGGGACCAGCAGTAGCCACAGAGGGGCTCCACGTGGAGTTAGGACGCATCTACTTGTTGTTTATTTTTTAAGTTCACACACGAGAACTCTGCTACAGAATTACATGGTCGATATATTTGTAGTGATGTCCCCTCTATACCTCCTCCGCTTATTAATATAATTTAAAGCTGTAGTTCTACCCTCTAGTATCCCTCATAATGCTTGATATTAACTGTGGCATTAAAAATCTCACCTAGGCATATCATACAGACAAGGTAGAATGCGAGTCGGTATCAGTATTTAAATGAAAATACGTGGTTAATTTAATTGTTGGAAAGGACCCCGACAGAAAATAAGTGATGAAACAAATGAACAGTTAAATAATCGGGTATGTATATGTGTACATTGCTGCACACACACACTTGTTGTCGTTGCTAGGAATACAACTGTTTAGTTATGCACCGAATTTGTAGAGGCTAATTCCTTTATCTGTCTCCAGTAGAGAATATCCCGTTAACTGACTATTTGAGCAGACCAATTCTCCTAGTAGTACTATGAGTTTACTCGACAATATTCAAAATCCAGAACACCAGTTGTTGGGATAATTAGTGTACTAATGATAATTAATAAAATTCGCGAGCACGCAAAAGGCAAAGGCATTGGGTAGCAAGGGTGTAAAGGTCGAAAAATCCATGTATTTTATGAGTGCTAATTAACTGTGGATAAGTCGTTGATTGCCTATATAAACAACCAATGGCAGGATAGATAAAGATTGAGCTCAATAAGGCTTACACATACTTTTACATAGTGGGTTAATTGTCTAAATTACAGCAGGTAGGTGATAAAAAATTCAATAGGCTTACTACTGAATTCCAAAATAATGATAGTATCAAGACAATTGGTAATATACACAATTGTAAATACTGACAAAGAAAAAGGATTGTGGGACTTGACTTAAGCAGTCAATAGGATATGTGTTCGAGTTTTGGTCTCCTAATCAACAACTATAAGAAGTAGCCAATAGTTCCAAATAATGATAGATATAATCCAATATAATATGCATTCGGAATAATCACGTAATGGGAATGGCTACAAACGTAAATAACGGTAACTAATAAATGAGAACAAGAAGTGTATATTTAGCAATGTATCTATGAACGAAAATCAGTGTTTCATACAAGCAGAGAATAGAATGATTTTAGAAGGTCAGGGAGCCCCAGTTCCCTCAAAGATTACAGGTACACCTTGCTGACGAGTGCCAAGTAGCACGAAACCCGGGTCCAGGGTTTCCTGTCGACTACCTCAAACCACCATCTAATCTCACAATAGTGTCCGTAGTGTCGAGACACCTAGACTGGTGGCCACATTGCAACATGGTCGATAGCATTTGATCTGTACTAATAATAAGGACTAGACATGCATGACATTGATCACCACCCAGTGGTCAATCAATTATAACCTAAACAAACATTTTATAGCCAATAATAGTAATTATATATAAGTATATATTACGTGAAACTATGGCCAAAAACACAGATAACTACATTAAAAAAGAAAACTTTATACATAAACATCGAATTCAAGGGCGACAGAGCCACACATACACACCCTAAAGAGAATTTCCGATTCTTTAGAAAGAATATTCCCCTCCAGCCGATCATTGTTCACCAATAATCTTAAAGATAAATTATCGTATTTAACTAACTCAATGTGAATTTATCAATTTACCTGCTCTTGTGGAGCTAGGTATATAGGTCGTTCAATGCGTACTTTGTCCAAAAGAATCCAAGAACATTGTCCGGCATTACTAAAAAGAGGAGGAATCGACTTAATAAGAAGCTCAGTAATGGAACACCTGGTGAATATAGGTCACTCAATCAAGACAGACTCTGCGTTCAAAGTCATCTACAAGGTAAGCAGAAGTCGCTCAAAAAACAATTAGACTGTATTTTCTTTACATTGTTGAAGCATTAACCATACATCTAGAAAAACCGGAATTCTGTGTGTACAAAAACGACTGGTACAACCTCTTCTTATTCTACCATGGCCCTCATGTCTTATAATTTTTT